GGTGTCTGAAAATCAGTTAACAGTAAAAATGTGGTATTTTAATGGTAACAATAAGTAACATTTTGGTATTTTAACGGTAAATCTTTAAAAAGTGTTCTGAAACGATAAACAGTATTTTTCCTTGCGATTCACGCTAAATTTTTAGTGTTTTCACGACTGACAGTAACCAAAATTGAGTGAATCATGACTCACAATTTAACCCATCAACACCCTCTTTTTTCACTCTGCCTAACGGCACACAATTTTACTTGTAGACACAAGAGTGTTGATGCTCAATGGGTTAATATAGCAATTAAACTTTATAATATATAGTTTATTTTATTTTGTATGAGGCCATATACCAGGGGGAAATTTTGACAGGCAACATTGCATATTTGCAGGCAATATATGAAATGGCGACAACAACATATAGCAAACATAATATGAATTGTATCCAAAATGTGACAGTGACACGAAGGTTAGAATGCAAGCAGTCTACCAGGTGATCTCGTGTTCGTATTTTAGCCAATCAGCGCTCAGAAAGGGTTGTCCGAATAGAAATCCATTTTGATGTATTCAGTCAATTATATCTTTCGTTATTCTTTATGAAACTAGTTGAAATTTTGTCATTATGTTTGGTTACGAGAACTATAGCTCTGACAAAAATATGGAATCGAAATAAAGTATATTACAGGAGATATTCAGTTGTTTTAATCATAAAATGGATTTCTATTTGACAACTAGTGCCAGTACTTTTCCACGTATCAAGATCATCTGGTATAGGGAGAGGAGGGACTGGCGACAACACATCAAGAAATGAAATACGAGTTACTCACACAATGCAAAATTCTCATTGGTCGAAATTGTTGTGTCTGTCAACCAAATGTGATATGTAGTAATTATGCTATAAATAATTTTCAGACTGAATGTTGATTTTATAAATAAACATGACATAATTAACGGTTCCTATTGGATAGATTTAATTGGATATAAGGCCATATAAAATAAATTCCTTGATTCTCATCACCGCCCGACGATATTTTGGTTTCCGTGTTGATATATTTTTGTATTTTGTTATAAAATATAAATTTACCGCCCGACCGAGCATCTTCAGAGATTTAGTTATTTTTATATTTTATATTGGAATTTTTGCGATATAAAATTGTTTTATCGTTAATATTGCAACATGTTAAGGGATGCTTGGAATACTGAGGGAAAAAATGGGCTTATAGCCTTATTACAACGATTTGTCATTAACGCATGTGCAATTATCCACTTATATAGCGTTCTTCTATAATGCATTTAAGGGCAAATATAAAAAGACCTCCCTCTCCAATTTTTTAAATTTTAAACTTTTTTTTTATATTTTGACATAAAATATAAAATATAAACCGCCCGCCTCCTGGGAGTTTTTAAAATTTAGCGATGAGAATCAAGAAATTTATTTTATATGGCCTAAGTAATGTTTATGCAAAGGCAGAGCCAACTTGACAAGAGGGAAAAGTGGGTGTATTTTGTCTGTTGATGTCTTTTGTCTGTTGATGTGTTGTCGACAGTTGAAAACAGTGTCTAGTTAGGGACGGACCATTTGATTTTTGATGGGGGGGTGGGTAGATTTTCAGTTTGCTCGATATTTTTTTTCCGCCTCCTGACACTGTTCGATTTTTTTTTGTCAGTCAGAGGACTCGCACGATATTTTTTTGTATCCATGTATATACAGTTTTTTGTTTTTACATTTTTTGGTATATAATAAGTAATTGGACAAGTACTGGTGTAATACATTGTGTAGCCTAAATAATGAGAGGACCAGTATTAAAAAATGGTTGTTCTTCATTTCTTTACTCTGACTCCTATGATGAACATGTACGTAAAAAAACTAGGGAAACTGCGATTATATATATAGAAACTAAAGTAGGTGAAATTTTTATGGGACTCCATAAAAGGTGAGGATATAAGAGTGAGAGATTGAAATTGAGTAGGAAAGGCAACCCTACACGCGTTTCAACCTAACAGTCTTTTTCAGCAGGGTTTTTTAAAGGGGGGGGGGAGTATATAGAATTTGCAGAGGAGAAGAAAAGAGAGTTTAGGAGTTCGGAAAATAATGTGAACTTGGATCCTCTACGTAGCAAAATCCACACCAGAACTAGCTATAGCTATCTATTGGTCATATCGTATCATAACTAATCTCTGTTTTGGTTTTGTTATATATGTACATGTTTAGTTATTATTGTATATTCATATATTTTAAACAAAAATCAAACCCTGCACGGTGTTATCATTATTTTTATCCCTTATGTATCACTAATTGCCAAACGCCCCTATCCCTGTCTTATAAGCTCCTACACCACGAACACCATATTTGGATGCAATCACCTACAGTCACATGATCACCCTTACCATCACAATCATTCAAACTCAAGGACCTGCAAATTTTGTCTTCACTTCACCAATACGAACGATGAACAATAAAGTGCGTAGTGTTGGAATGTCCCGCAAACAACAAGACCTTTGGTGGGATAATTTGACTAATAACATGTATAGTATAGTTACATCCTTTCACTGTGTAATTGGTTATTTTCAGTTATTTCGTAATAATTTGTTTTCCTCTTGGTCTCACATTATTTTCCGAACTCCTCTAAAGTCTCCTTCCTTCTCCTCTTCAAATTATATCTACATGCACCCCCCTCTTAAAAAACCCTGCTGAAGAAAACTGTTAGGTCGAAACGCATACCCCTGTACGCTATTCCTGCTCAATTTCAATCTCTCGCTCTTATATCCTCGCCTTTGATCGTTCCCATAAAAATTTCACCTATTTTATTTTCTACGGCCGTGATTTAATCGTAGTTCTCCTAGTTTTTTTACGTACATGTTCAGCCTAGGAGTCGGAGTAAAGATATAAATAACAACCATTTTTGGAATTATATTGCTCCTCCAATCAATTTAGGCTACAGGGCCGTAGGAAGCTCTTTTTGATTGGGGGGCTGAAAGCGAGGGCCGAAGGCCCGAGGAAATTTTTAAATTTAGAGTCTCTGAAATGCCATTTCCTGGACCCTGCAGCCCCCCGGTTGCTACATACGGCCCTGGGCTACACGCGGAAATGCACCGAATGGCAAATAAGGATCATCACTCGAAAGTCTTGCTCGATATTTTTTTTTGTCCGTTTATTCTTGCACGATATTTTTTTTAAGTTCGAATTGCTTGCCCGATATTTTTTTTGGGATTCTACCCACCCCCCCATCAAAAATCAAATGGTCCGTCCCTTACGGAGGCGTAGCCAGGATTTTGGTCAGGGGGTGCAAGCAAAAACCAAGGTGGGGCCAGCCCCAGACTTCAATTAATTTAATTTCGTAGAATGAATTTTCTTGGGGGGGGGCAACATTTACCAGGGGGCATCAAGTTTCATTGTATCCTAGTCTAACATTTCATTCTCTCTAAAATACGCCTGCCGCTCAAAAGCTCAATGGGTTAATTTATTTATTACTGTATTGCATGCCATCGACGATACCTGAATTAACGATCTCAGCAATTTGCCTAGATTTTGCTCACTTTTTCAAGTCAGTTGGTAGCAGTTTAGGTTCCGGATATTTCTCCTCAAGATAATCAATAATAGCCAACGACTGTGTGACTACATCACCATCAATTTCGATTGTAGGAAGCTGCCCAAGTGGGTTGATCTCCAGATATGATGCGCGAATTGGTTCATCAAATCTGAAAAATTTCCTTTCAAATTTTAGCCCTTTTAATGCCAGAGCGATACGAACTCGCCACGTCGGCGAGCTATCGTACATTGTGTGCAAAGCTATGGTTCCAATTCGTCCAGACATTCTCTAATTATTACATGTATTTGTGATTTTGCCTCCTGTTCCATACTATATTTACTATATCAGTGTTCAGTTGTCCTGCGAACAGGCGAACACTGACCTCCATATATATCGCCAGTTATCTGGAGTAACAAGTGCAAAAAGTGCCGAAATTCATATATTATAAATCACATATAAAACAAACTTTGAAAATATAGATATATCTATATCTAACAAGTAAATGGGTTAGCCTTAAAGCTCTGCCCACAAAAAGTAGAAGTTAACCGTTAGCCTTCACAAAACGGGCAAAAAAGTAGCCACTTTTTCATATCTTTTTCCAAACAGCAAAAACGTAATCCTAGAGCCTTAACATTGGCCGATTTTTCAATGTTAGGAAAAGAGGCAAAAAACAGCAAAAAAGTAAGGCTATAGCCTTAACCTTTCATCCATTTTTAGCGACTTTTGCCATTTTTCATAAATGGGCAAAAAACAGCAAAAAAGTAAGGCTATAGCCTTAACTTTTCGTTCATTTTTAGCGACTTTTGCCATTTTTCATAAATGGGCAAAAAACAGCCTTAACTTTTCGTTCATTTTTAGCGACTTTTGCCATTTTTCATAAATGGGCAAAAAACAGCAAAAAAGTAAGGCTATATAGCCTTAACTTTTCGTCCATTTTTAGCGACTTTTCCCATTTTTCATAAATGGACAAAAAACAGCAAAAAAGTAAGGCTATATCACTAAAAAGAGCACAGTAAAATGAATCGAGTAATGAATCTCTGTGTCGCAAAATATTCAAAGAACTGTAATAGAGCACGTTGTTAACTTAACTGTAATAAAGCACGTTGTTATTGCGCGCGTATTGGCGGAAAACTGGGTACCAGTGTCAGTGGTACGATGGTACTATAGTATGCCTGGAACTTGTTAATTTTCAATGGTACGATGGTACGCGTACCATATCTATTTTTCCTAAACGCCTGTCCTATTTTGGGCATC